TCCCAAATAGACTCACATTAGGCCACATGAAAGCAACTGAACCCAAAAATATATTAACCAGTATATAACTGCACTCTCACACAACACGCCTGCAGCAACAGTTAGGACTCCTCCCTCCCTTTTAAAAGCGTTTTCGCTTCTGAGGACATTGTGGTTGTAAAGCCACATGTTAGTAGTCTGGCCCCGGTGTGATCAACCAGTTTCTGCGGGAATGTGACGGCGGAACCGGTTCGCAGCGGCGCGAGTCCACCCCCCACCCCCACCCCCCGCCTATCTAATAGCGTCGCGCTTACAATTTTATAGACTTTTTTTAACGAGCTTAGGGCATGTCTAGCCTGTGTAATAATCCGGGGCTTGGATAAATCACTTTTGAAAAGTTTTTAACTTACCCGGATGCAGAGCTCTCTCCTTCCTCGCTGATGATTCTGACATGCTTGCGTTTAAGACGCTGCATCATCACCGTAGTATCCCCGTGCCATGCTAAGTCTGACCTACAAACGTTGCATGTCTTCGCCTGATTTAACTGAAAATGCTCCCAAACTTTAGAAGTTTTTACTTTTTTTGGGGTCTCGCTGCTTCTGCCATGTTCCTCTTTTACAAACACCTGCCAGCTCTCCACCGGTCTGCGCGCAACGGCGGGCGGGAGGGGAGGGGGCTTTTGGAAGAGTTGTGCAACACAACGAATCGATGACGCAATTCGTTGCCAACGCTTTTAGTAATCGATTTTCATCGAATTTATCGATTCGTTGTTGCAGCCCTACTACGGGTACTATGTTACAGGAACTATGTTACAGGAACTATGTTACAGGAACTATGTTACAGGAACTATGTTACAGGCACTATGCTACAGGCACTATGCTACAGGCACTATGCTACAGGCACTATGCTACAGGTACTATGCTACAGGTACTATGTTACAGGCACTATGTTACAGGCACTATGTTACAGGCACTATGCTACAGGCACTATGCTACAGGCACTATGCTACAGGCACTATGCTACAGGCACTATGCTACAGGCACTATGTGACGGGTACTATGTTAACGGGTACCATGTAACTGGCACTATGTCCTGTAGATGAGCTCCGATACGACCCGTCCAGTCTTGAGACGTCTCCAGGTCACTACAGTAGCTGGGACGCTTGTTTGCGTCCAAAGTGGATGTGGCTCTTAGAGAGCCGTCTGGCTGTGTCAGCTTGCAGCGTGCAGACAGGGTTTGACTGTATGTCAGAAGAGTTGTCTCTAGGATGCTTGTCCCGAATCAGCCGGTTCGGAACTCCGCTAGAAACTGAATTAGTCGGGAAGTTACTCCTGTTTTAATAAACTCATTATTTATCATTTCTGGTGAATTCTGGCAAATCAGAATGTGCCATGTCTCAAAGTTTTACCAACATCCCTCCGAAAACCACACCTTGTTGCAGATACAAAGATGTTTGCAGCCCTGGTGTGTATGAAAGGTTATGCGGTGTCAACTAGATGGTGAAAAGTTTACCCTTCTGATTCATAACACATTCGTTGGGTGCCAGGTTTCCTTCTGCGGAAGCCCTTGAGGACTGAATGCATCTACTGATTTGGAACAAAAGGTTACAAAACTTTCATCATTAATAAACGTTGTTGTTTTACATGTTTACCTCTTCACTGATTGCCAGTGATGAAAGGGAGTCTGATGTTCTTGTTATTTTGCTGGAGGTTGCATTCCCAGGGATGTTTGACCCTAATGGCCATCCGTTGGCAAGGTCTTACTTAAACACAAAAGTAATGCTTGCTTGCTGTCATTCAGGTATGTACTGCCCCCTATCGCCAGGGATTATACACACTGTCACTTTAAGAAGCAGTCATAATTACTTGGAGTTACTACCGACCAGTTATCCCCTACTGTAAGTTGGTACATCTCTGACTGGCTGCACAGATCATCCACATCTTTTAAAGCATGGACTGCTACGTCCCTGTTGCCATTGCTGTAGGAGTGGACAGCTGCCAGCAGTAGGCAGCCTCGCCTCTGTCAGAGCGCCCCAGGGCAGCTGTGGCTACATCGTAGCTCATCTCCGCCAGCGTGTGAATGACTGATTGTGTTGTAAAGCACCTTGGGGGGTTCTAGGACTCTAGAAGACGCTATATCAAATACAGGCCATTTACTCTTTGTCCAAATAATTCCATCCAAACAAGAAAACACAGACATAACTTAAGTTGTATGTAAAGATTTATAGGTGGTTACTTTAATTAAATAGTCATTAGGATATAAAGGTATTCAATAAAATGTAATATTACACTGTAGCATTAAGGAGAGGCTACATATGTAACAAACGATCAGTAAGATGTTGTAACGTCCAGAAAGGGTCATTTTTCATCCAGTTTGACCTCCTGAGTATCCGGCCGTCTGCAGACATGTTCTGCCTCTGGGGCCCTCTAACCTTTCAAGCTGCAACAAAGGCTCTACAGTGCTGTTGAAACTGAGATTGTTAACACAATGTTCTGCTTCACCAAGGTCTTTCCGCCAAGCTGCTGCTTATCTATCCTTTTCCTCACAGAATAAAGAATGAACTTTATTGTTAAAATAATGATGAAATAAAATGAACAATATGGTTAAATGGAATACTTAAATAATCATATAATGAATGGATAAGGTGTTAATTAATGCTTTGATTAATCTGCACCTAAATCAATGAAGTTGAAATGAATATTATTATTATTACATTGAAAGATTTATACAGGGAGTGCAGAATTATTAGGCAAATGAGTATTTTGTCCTCTTCATGCATGTTGTCTTACTCCAAGCTGTATAGGCTCGAATGCCTACTACCAATTAAGCATATTAGGTGATGTGCATCTCTGTGATGAGAAGGGGTGTGGTCTAACGACATCAACACCCTACGTATATCAGGTGTGCATAATTATTAGGCAACTTCCTTTCCTTTGGCAAAATGGGTCAAAAGAAGGACTTGACAGGCTCAGAAAAGTCAAAAAAAGTGAGATGTCTTGCAGAGGGATGCAGCAGTCTTAAAACTGCAAAGCTTCTGAAGCGTGATCATCGAACATTCAAGCGTTTCATTCAAAATAGTCAACAGGGTCGCATGAAGCGTGTGGACAAACCAAGGCGCAAAATAACTGCCCATGAAGTGAGAAAAGTCAAGCGTGCAGCTGCCAAGATGCCACTTGCCACCAGTTTGGCCATATTTCAGAGCTGCAACATCACTGGAGTGCCCAAAAGCGCAAGGTGTGCAATACTCAGAGACATGGCCATGGTAAGAAAGGCTGAAAGACGACCACCACTGAACAAGACACACAAGCTTAAACATCAAGACTGGGCCAAGAAATATCTCCAGACTGATGTTTCTAAGGGTTTTATGGACTGATGAGATGAGAGTGAGTCTTGATGGGCCAGATGGATGGGCCCGTGGCTGGATTGGTAAAGGGCAGAGAGCTCCAGTCCGACTCAGACGCCAGCAAGGTGGAGGTGGAGTACTGGTTTGGGCTGGTATCATCAAAGATGAGCTTGTGGGGCCTTTTCGGGTTGAGGATGGAGTCAAGCTCAACTCCCAGTCCTACTGCCAGTTTCTGGAAGACACCTTCTTCAAGCAGTGGTACAGGAAGAAGTCTGCGTCCTTCAAGAAAAACATGATGTTCATGCAGGACAACGCTCCATCACACGCGTCCAAGTACTCCACAGCGTGGCTGGCAAGAAAGGGTATAAAAGAAGAAAAACTAATGACATGGCCTCCTTGTTCACCTGATCTGAACCCCACTGAGAACCTGTGGTCCATCATCAAATGTGAGATTTACAAGGAGGGAAAACGGTACACCTCTCTGAACCGTGTCTGGGAGGCTGTGGTTGCTGCTGCACGCAATGTTGATGGTGACCAGATCAAAACACTGACAGAATCCATGGATGGCAGGCTTTTGAGTGTCCTTGCAAAGAAAGGTGGCAATATTGGTCGCTGATTTGTTTTTGTTTTGTTTTTGAATGTCAGAAATGTATATTTGGGAATGTGGAGATGTTATATTGGTTTCACTGGTAAAAGTAAATAATTGAAATGGATATATATTTGTTTTTTTGTTAAGTTGCCTAATAATTATGCACAGTAATAGTCACCTTCTCACACAGATATCCCCCTAAAATAGCTAAAACTAAAAACTACTTTCAAAAACATTCAGCTTTGATATTAATTAGTTTTTTGGGTTCATTGAGAACATGGTTGTTGTTCAATAATTAAATTATTCCTCAAAAATACAACTTGCCTAATAATTCTGCACTCCCTGTATGTTATGATCGGTAATGTTTGATATAACAAGGTAATCATGATCTACACTCACACACACGTGCATATCTTCGTGACACAAGGCTACAGTTAAATGTCATCATACTCTGAGATGTTCTTATCCACAAAATCAGCATCTTTTATCTGAAGGAGGAGTGTACTGAGGTTTGTTTGGTAAAACCCTCTTAACATTTCACGTTGTGATTAGCCAAAAAATTCATAATATAGGAATTAACAAAACTTAGATCAGTTCCCGAGTAGTTCAGTTCGTTGAGTGGAGTTGAGTAAGTTTGTTTCTAGAAATTATATCTCCGAACTGACCCTGGAATGCCTTGGGGTCCTACCGGAGGAGCTGGTGGAGTTGACCAGGGAGAGGACTGTCTGGAACTTTTTAGGGGAATAGGGGAACCACAACCCCAGTCTGCCAATCCAGTGGAACTGCCATCGATGTCCACACGATACTGAAAAGCCACGTCAACCAACACAGCGCAACATCCAGAGCCTTAAGGAACTCTGGCGGATCTCATCTACCCTCGGGTCCTTTCCACAGAGGAGTTTTTGACCACCTCTGTGTAGCGTTGTTAATCTACATAACTAGAATTTAACGCTGTTGCTTTTCAGCTTTGCTAAATTCTGAGAAAGATCAAATGAATTAGCAATGAAACATATATATATATATGTATGTATGTATGTATGTATACATATATATATATATATATATATATATATATATATATTAGGGGTGCAACAATACATGTACCCGTATTGAACCGTTCAATACGGAGCTTTCGGTTCGGGACGCATATGTACCGAACAATACAGTATTTTTTATATTTATTTTTATCCATTTTTCTTCTGACGATGAGATCCAGTGGATCTGGGTGATCTGCGTTCGACTACTCCGCCTGAGGTCGCATTGTCGAGCGCAGATCCACTTAGCGCCGCCCACATGCTTGATAGCGGCGAGACATGAGAAGTTAGCTAATTGCTAGTCATGGCAGCTGCCTCAGCGGTCCCCGAGATTGAACCCCCTCCTCCGTCTTTCAGATCTACAGTTTGGAACTTTTTTGGCTTTCATGTGAAGCGTGACCCTGATGGTAAGCGCGTCGTGGACAAAACTACCACAGTATGTCGGAGATGCCACACAATGCTTAATTACGTCAGCGGGAACACAACAAATATGACTGTACATTTACGCCGACATCACCCTGATGCAAAGACAAGTGGAGTCAGGGAAAAACAGCAACAACCAAGCATGCAAAAAGCTCTTCCCGAGTCATTTAGACAGCCGTTTACACGTGATTCCAAGAGGGCAAAAGAAATAGACAGGGCGATAGCTACTTTTATTGCTGTCGACATGCGACCGTTTTCTGTAGTAGACAACATCGGGTTTCGGGAGATGCTGAGAGTACTTGAGCCCCGTTACAATCTTCCTTCACGAACGTATTTCACCGAGACCGCAGTTCCTGCTTTGTACAATGAGACGAAAGCCAAATTAGAGACGGCAGTGTCAGCAGCACCCGCTGTTGCTCTGACCTCAGACGGCTGGACGTCAAGAGCTACACAGAGCTTCCTGACCGTCACCGCACATTATATTGATGCAGAATGGCAAATGAAAAGCAGTGTTCTGCAGACACGCCTCATCGAAAGTCACGCCACAAACGACTTGGCCAAAGCTCTGTCAGAAGCAGTGGAAGACTGGAAGTTAGTGCGAGCAAAAGGTACTATACCTGTAACTACTGACAACGCCAAGAACATAGTTAATGCTGTCACAGCTGCTGGGCTGGGGCCACAAATTGGATGCTTTGCACGTACCATTAATATAGCAGCTCAGAAAGGAATGGCAGTGTCGAAAGTTTCCCATCTCCTTGCAAAGATGAGGAAAATAGTCACCTTTTTTCACAGAAGCACAACAGGACACAATGTGTTGAAGAGAAAACAGGAGCCGCTACAGCTTGGTGAAAAAAAACTGATCCAAGATGTTTCAACCAGGTGGAACTCCACCCATGACATGATGGAAAGATACCTTGAACAGAAAGATGCAGTGTTTGCTGCTATGGCTGACAACACTGTGAAGAAGAACATGAAGAACATAAACAGTCTATCTGATGATGAACACACACTGGCTGAAAATCTTGTTGCAGTCATGAAAACCCTAAAAACTGTCACTATCATGATGTGTGAAGCATCATCTCCCACAGCATCCATGATCATGCCACTTAAAATAAGCATACTGAACTCCATGGCACAGTCTGATGATGACAGCCCAACAGTGAGAGATGTAAAAAAAAAACATCAGGGATGACCTGGAGCAGAGATACACAGATCCTGCCATTCAGCATTACCTCCACAAGTGCACGGCTTTAGATCCTCGCTTCAAGTCCCTGCGACACTTGGATGATGCCACTCAGCTGAGAATTTTTGCAGCACTCAACACAGAGATTGTCCTGAGCATTGAAGAAGTAAGTGTTATTTTATAAATGTTTGATAATTTCTTTTGCTACTACATGAGTTGTAAGTTTTAATTTAAAAAATACAATTAATTTAATTAATTTGTATTTTTGTTTTTTGTATTTCTTCAGGGTCAAGCTGCAGGCAACACAACAACAGCCCCCTCTACGGATACTGAAGCACCACACTCTTCAGATTCACCATCATCATCTCCACCAGAGAAGAAGTCAGCCATGAAGGAGTTGTTTGGAGAACTGTTCATGGGACAGGAGCCAAGGACCAGGTCTGCAGCCAAAGTGGCAGATGAGGAAATTAACTTGTATAGGTTAGCGGACTGCATTCACATAGATGATAATCCACTGAGATGGTGGAAAGAACATCACAGCTTGTACCCTCACCTTTCCAAGTTGGCACTGTGTTACTTGGTTGTACCAGGGACCTCTGTCCCAAGTGAGAGGGTGTTTTCCACTGCAGGTGACATTGTCACAGCAAGCAGATCTGTACTGTCAGCAGAACATGTTGACATCCTCATTTTTCTGAAGAAAAACATGGAAGTTGAGTAAACTGATATTTGGTTTGTCTTTAAGTGAAAATTTTATTTAAGTTATTTTTGTTGTTTTTTATTTTATTTTTGTTGTTTTTTAAGTTATTTTTGTTGTATATGCAGCCTTAGCTGCCAGCACTCCAGAAGATGAGTGTGAGGGAGGGTTCCATAAAAGATTGGTTCATTTTATAGGGACCTTATTTGTTTAATTGCTGCTGAGAATATAGCCCAGAGGATGGCTATTGTATAGCTATTATTTTGGAAAAAAGCTACTTTGGTTTTCCACAGATTATTTTCTTAGTTACATAAGTTTGCTATTTTAGCAACATTTAATTTACAAAATTGTACTTTTGAGTTAAAACAAATATTTGTTAATAAATTTCAATGAATGACAAATTTGGAAAGGTATGAATACTATTTTTTTGTATCGAAAAAATATCGAACCGTGACACCAATGTATCGAATCGAATCGAACCGTCCATTTTGTGTATCGTTGCACCCCTAATATATATATATATGTATATATATATATATATATATATAATATATATATATATATATATATATATATATATATATATATATGTATGTATATGTATGTATATGTATGTATATATATGTATATATATGTATATATGTATGTATATATATGTATATATATGTATGTATATATATGTATATATATGTATATATATATGTATGTATATATATGTATATATATGTATGTATATATATATATATATGTATATATATGTATGTATATACATATATATATGTATGTATATATATATATATGTATGTATATATATATATTTATATAATCGATAGAAGTTCATACACCAACTGGCTTGGTCTATAATCAAAAGATTAATATTTAATTTAAGAGGTTTAAAATAATAGCAAAGGTTTATTAATTCAGAAGATCTAAAGAGATCTTTGCTCGTTCAGTGACCAAATGCACCACTCTGTGTTTTATTTCAAAGAAGAGTCAGGTTTAAAAAGTTAAGAATTTATTACCAACAATTTAAAGATGACAATTTAAAGATGACAATTTAAAGGACAGTTCATAAATGACAATTTATAAAAGCGTTGGTATTAAAACTTGGTATTAAAGCAGTCTGTGTCTGGATGAAACTAAACATGACGTGTGTGTGTTTGGATGTGTGAATGTAGGTCTCAGAAGGTTTTTATCTTAGCGAGAGCAAAACGCGTTCTGGGTGAAAGAGTTTGGTTTGCAGTTAAGCTAAATTATTTCTTAATAAAACAGGCATTCAGACGCAATCTTGTGTTCTACCTCACCGTTCAGACGACCCTCTGTTCAGATCCAGAGGTCAAGGGAGGATTTTGATCAGCCTCTGGGTACTCGGTCCGGTAGGGGAGACCAGTGGTACCGGCTCTCTGGTCCTAGAGTTGCCGCAGGCACACAGGCGTGGACTTGGTTTGTGTCTGAGCAGATTCTTAAGGAATCTCGTAGCGTAAGCTTTGCTGCAGATGGCGTTTCCGTTGAAGCAATTCTATCGGCGTGACAGAAAAGCTTTACTAGAGGTTTTGAACGGCCGACTCAATCCTCTTGACTCTCGTTGCCACGAAGAGAATTTGGTGAGCTCAATAACTGAACTTGAACTGAGGAGTTAGGTTTTAAGAGACGGCCGGTAATCTTATTCTAACAAATCAGATTTGACATGTTAGAGGGTGGGACTTAACATACCTCGGAACACGCCCTCTCAGAGACAGAAAGCTCTGGGTTGTCATGTGACAAAGACATGTGAGTGCAGTTAACCTTAACCTGATTACTGTGTTCTGCATGGTGTGTATAAGTGCACATGATTTTCTGGTCACAGTTAAACATTACTGATTATCATAAATAATAATTATTATTAACCAAAGAATAATAATTCATTTCAGTAATTAAATACATTTATAATGAACCTTGATGATTATTTATGAACATTGCAATAGACAGTGAAAAGAGTTTATTAAAAATGATTCTTTTAAATCTTGAAGTGTCCTTCGTCTTGCGGATGGAACAGCAGTCAGATAAAGGCAGTCAGATTAAAGGGGTGGTTGACCGACATTCAGTCTCCTGTGCTGGATAATCTGTAGATAGAAGTGCAGCCAGGACAGCTTGACCCAGCTGAGGAAGTGTGACCTTTGGTTCACAAATGAGGCCATTCATGTCATTACTTCAGTGACTTCGGCCCCAGAGATTGGCGAGTCCAACTCAAAGTCCCCAGACTCTGCTTCCACACTGGAAGACATGCCGGTGGGATTGAGGAGGTCTTCGAAATATTTTGTCTACCGATCCACAACATCTCGAGCAGAGGTCAGCAGCACACCATCACCACTGTAAACAATGTTGGTAATACACTGCTTCCCCCTCCTGAGATGCCGCATGGTTGACCAGAATCTCCTCGAAGCCATACGGAAGTATTGCTCCATGGTCTCACCAAACTCCTCCCACGCCCGGGTTTTTTTCTCTGTGACCATCCGAGCCACATTCCGCTTAGACTGCCGGTATCCATCAGCTGCCTCTGGAGTCCCACAGGCCAAAAAGACCAGATAGGACTCTTTCTTCAGCTTGACAGCTGGTGGACACCAGCGGGTTCGGGGGTTGCCACCACGACAGGTACCAACAACCATTCGGCCGCAGCTCTGGTCAGCCACCTCAACAATAGAAGCACAGAACAAGGCCCACTTGGACTCAATGTCTCTCGCTTCCCTCGGGCCATGTTCAAAGTTCTGTCGGAGGTGGGAATCGAAGCTCCTTCCAACAGGAGTCTCCGCCAGACATTCTCAGCAGACCCTCACAATACGTTTGGGACTGCCATGTGTGACTGGCTTCCTCCCCCACCATCGAAGCCAACTCACCACCAGGTAGTGGTCAGTTGACAGCTCCGCCCCTCTCTTCACCCGAGTGTTCAAGACATGCAGCCGCAGATCAGATGAAACAACAAAGTCAATCTTTGAAATTTGGCCTAAGGTATCCTGGTGCCGAGAGCACATATGGACACCTTGTGACCATAGCACATTGTGACCTAGACTGAAACTAATGAGGAATGAGATTCAAAGCTGCAATATAATAGCTGTTGGAAAGATGAAACTTAAGCCCCTCCCCTATTTAAAGTAGAGTTTTCACATTTGACATAGCTTCCTTTACTCCTTTAATAATTCAACAGTTTATCTATTTTTGTGAATATATAGTTACAGCAGTTCGTAATTCACATCCTGCGTTTCCTACAGATGTTCAACAGCTGATGCTGGTTAAAGAAGAAGCTCCTGGTGAGGACCAGCAGGACCCAGAACACCTTCACATAAAGGAGGAAGAGGAGGAGCTCTGGACCAGTCTGGAGGGAGAGCAGATCCATCTGAAGGAGGAGACTGATGCTGCCATGTTTCCAGTCACTGTAGTTACTATAAAGAGTGAGGATGATGAAGAGAAACCTCTGATCTCACAGCTTCATCAGCAGCAGATAGAAGACAGAGATGTTCCAACCAGCAGCTCAGCTGACCAGATGCCAGAAGAAACTGGTGGAGGAGCAGAGAGTAGCAGGAACGCTGATCTGAACCTTCATGAACAAACATCTGATTCTTCAGAGACTGAAGTTAGTGGAGATGATGAAGAAGATGAGGATGGTGCGAATATAAACGTTGAGTTATCAGAATCTGGGCCTGACACTGGAGATGGAGACAATGACTGCACTGAGACCAAGTCTTCTGAGTCAGATGTTAGGACTGTCAACAAATCCTTTAGCTGCCCTGAATGTGGTAAACAATTTCTCCACAAATGTTCTCTCCAGAGACACAGGAGAGTGACGGGTCATTTACCAATTAGGTCTTCAAGCTGTATGGTTAATGAGAAGTGTGTTGGAGTGCAGCAACATGAAGACTCATGCAGGAACGTCCAGAAAGAACAAAAATCATTTAGTTGTGACGACTGTGGAAAAATACTTCGTCATAAAAAAAGTTTAGACACTCACATGAGAGTCCACACAGGACAGAAACCTTTTGCCTGTGAGCTCTGTGGACAACTATTTAGCCATAAGATAAATTTAAACAATCACATTAGAGTCCACACAGGAGAGAAGCCTTTTTCCTGTGAGCTCTGTGGAAAAAGCTTTAATCAAAGGACAAATTTAAACACTCACATGAGAGTCCACACAGGACAGAAGCCTTTTGCCTGTGAGCTCTGTGGACAAAGGCTTAGTTATAAGAAAAGTTTAAACAGCCACATGAGTGTCCACACAGGGCAGAAACCTTTTGCTTGTGAGCTCTGTGAACAAAGATTTAGCTATAAGAAAGATTTAAACAGTCACATGAGCGTCCACACAGGACAGAAGCCTTTTGTATGTGAGCTCTGTGGAAAAAGTTTTAATCAAAGGACACATTTAAAGAGTCACATGAGAGTCCACACAGGAGAGAAGCCTTTTGCTTGTGAGCTCTGTGGACAAAGATTTAACAATAATAAAAGTTTAAACAGACACACGAGAGTCCACACAGGAGAGACGCCTTTTGCTTGTGAGCTCTGTGGACAAAGATTTAGCTATAAGAAAGATTTAAACCATCACATGAGAATCCACACAGGGCCGAAACCTTTTGCTTGTGAGCTCTGTGGACGTAAATTTAGTTATAAGAAAAATTTAAGTAATCACATGAGACTCCACACAGGACACAAGGAACTTATTTAAAGAACAAGTCACCCCAAATTAATTTTTTTTAATTAACGATATAAATGAGTGTCAAAAAATGTTGTTGACGAGTAGGGATGAGCAAGGATAAAGCATTTTTGAATACGAGCATGAAATGAGTAAAACCTGTAAATATCTGAAGTCATGCTGAAGGAAAATCCTCATTGGGTAACTGATTGTCTTCACGCTCTGTGATTGGCCAGTCACATCGAGCCCCCGCCCCTGCGTACACACAAAACTCTGCAGCCGGGAGCTCAGTCCGTCCGGCCCATCCACGCACACACACAGACAGTAACGGATCTCTCTGTGCTTGCTTCACTGTTGCTCACGTTTCTTCGGTACTCCCTAGGTTTTCTTCAGCTCGCCTCTTTTTCGGTTGAATATTTAAAGTTACTTTTTTCGTAACGTACGTAGTGCATTTGACAAGACAGAGCTGAAAACAGCTAGTGCTGCGTCTATCACTGCCTCCGCTCTCCTCCGGTCGGGTATTTTTCTCTCTCTCTCTCTCTCTCTCTCTCTCTCTCTCTCTCTCTCTCTCTCTCTCTCTCTCTCTCTCTCTCTCTCTCTCTCTCTCTCTCTCTCTCTCTCTCTCTCTCTCTCTCTCTCTCTCTCTCTCTCTCTCTCTCTCTCTCTCTCTCTCTCTCTCTCTCTCTCTCTCTCTCTCTCTCTCATACAATGAGTGATACAGAGGGTACTTTTGCTGAGACTGAATCAAATTATAATTGAAATAATCACGTTAAAATAAAAAAAAGTTGTGTCTGGTTCTAGTACTTCATATTTCCTAGTTCCTACTGCATGAGTTCAGATGTATTAATCCATGCACTTAAATATTAATGTTCTGATTTTATTGAAACACTTGTTCTGTAATAGTTCCTTTACTATTGTGATCAAAAATATTTAATCTCAATTCTGAGGCTGCTCTGTAAATAGTTTTCAAATAAACAATACACATATCAACTTCTGATCAATCCATATCAATTTCAGATTTAAAATAATGTATAGAAGTAAACCACACCCACTTCCGGTTAAACTACACCCACTTCCGGGTTAGGCCACGCCCACTCCGAGTACAGATCCAGACCATTTAGATGGTTGAACAGATACAGATAGTGGTGTACTCGCTCATCCCTATTGATAAGTGAGGTAATTGTTTTTGCCATTGTAGTGCATGTTATTTATAAGTTTAAAACTCCACCTAAAACTGCCTGTTTTGCACACTCCAAGTTAAAACGTCTCTACATTGTATTTGAGACAGTCCTCGCTATTGTCAAAGAGGCATCCCGTGACATTGAGTCACTACTAGGGATGCTACTAACCCTAACCCGATCATGTATTTTGCTCCCGATCCAATTCCGAGTCATTTGATTTTGAGTATCTGCCGATGCCAAGTCCCGATGCGATACTTTTCAGAAAAGCATAAAAAAAGTAGAAAAAAGAAATAATTTTTAGCAAAGCATTAAAATAAGACAAAAGGGGTGAGAAAAATCAAGAAAGCTTTAAAATGAGAAGAAAACACATCCAAACTCTTTCTCTTTCATTTTTTAGGAAGTACGCAGATTAAAAACTTGTTTATTGTGAATATTCTTAAAAGTAGCAGCATTGATCTTTTTTCAAGTTGTTTATTCCGTCAACATGAAGCTGTAAGCCATGTTCACAATGGAGCAGGTAGGCGGGGCCTTTGGCAGGCAGGTTAACGTTTCTCTGCACAACACCGTAAGCTCCAGCATGCAGCTCCGGTGCTGCAGGAGGACTAGAAACCCAATGTTTTCCAGTCTGTTGGCATTTTCAGTAGCGTAACTTTCTCTGTCGGCTGGCTCCGCGTTTTTGTCTGACTTCACTGTGAACTGCTACCCATACCATACCAAATTTATGTATACAAGCGCATTTAAACACAGCTGACCAAAGCGTGCTCTATAAATAACCTGATGTGGTATTGTGTTCTCTAATGACGTCCCAAATTCAAACAGCCTTGTTTTAAAGTTTTTAAAGTATCACTGAAGTTTTCAGACTCTCATCGCCTGCTGGAGTGGACAAACCATGTGGACCATCACCTTTGACTGCTTACACGACCGCTGCCAGCATGTATCCTTCAGAGGGCGAATGGAGCTGAGGAACGGTTCTCTGAAGGTTTACTTATAAAAACAGTATTTTTAATCTGAGTGAGGCTGTGAAGGAACCTGGGATTACAGGTGTTTGTGTGGCAGACCCGTTTAACCACTGGGGGGAGCCACAGATTACCTTTACAACTACAGGGATATTTTCCTGCCTGATACCAAAGTTTATGAAAGTAAATTAGTTAGTTCCTCTGCTGTTAAGTCTGGATTATTATAGTCTTTAATCCCTTTCACCGCGCTTCTCTGCTGTTCATTATTGTGTATATGTTTATTAACTGATGACATCATCGATCTACAGACCACCCACAAGGCGCCCTCTCGGATCTTCAGGTTGCTGATGGTGCCCTGAACTAGGTTCATGACCACAGGTGTTCAGGCAGCAGTCCCCTGGCCGTGGAAGCCTTTACCCTCCACCCTGCGCTCTTTCACCCCCGTCGTCATTTACGAACACATCTTTTACCTCAGTATTTTATAGATGTTTATGTTGTGTAGCTTTGTGCTTTCACACCTCATAGGTTAGAACGGTTTTACTGCTAAAAACCTGTTTTTTTGCTGTATAAGTTTGTGTTGGTTCTATGGTAGCTGCTCTTTTATGTTGTTTATGTTATGTTATAATTATGTTTATGTTGTTTTTGTTATGTTTATGTTATGTTATGTTTATGTTGTTGATGTTATGTTTATGTTATGCTTATGTTATGTTTATGTAGTTTATGTTATATTTATGTTATGTTTATGTTTTGTTTGTTATGTTTATGTTGATTATTATGTTCATGTTGTTTATGTTGTTTATGTTATGTTTATGTTGTTTATGTTGTGTTTATGTTGTTTATGTTATATTTATGTTATGTTTATGTTGTTTATAATATGTGATGTTTATGTTGTTAATGTTATGTTTATGTTGTTCATGTTATGTTTATGTTGTTCATGTTGTGTTTATGTTATAATTATGTTATGTTTGTGTTTGTTATGTTTATGTTACGTTTATGTTGTTCATGTTATGTTTGTTATGTTGTTCATGTTATGTTTATGCTATGTGATGTTTATGTTTTTGTTATGTTCATGTTGTTCATGTTATGTTTATGTTCTTCATTTGATGTTTATGTTGTTTATGTTGTGTTTATGCTGTTCATGTTATGTTGATGTTATGTTTATGTTATGTTGATGTTATGTTTATGTTGTTCTTGTTATGTTTATGTTGTTCATGTTATGTTTATGTTATAATTATGTTTATGTTATGTTATGCTCATGTTATGCTTATGTTGTTTACGTTATGTTTATGTTGTTTATGTTGTTTATGATGTTTATGTTGTTTATGTAGTTTATGTTATGTTTATGTTGTTTATGTTATATTTATATTTCTGTTATGTTTTGTTTGTTATGTTATGTTTATGTTGATTATTATGTTTATGTTATGTTTATGTTGTTTATGTTATGTTAATATTGTTTATGTTATGTTTATGTTGTTTATGTTATATTTATGTTGTTTATGTTATGTTTATGTTGTTTATGCTATGTTTGTGTTATGTTTATGTTTTTGTTATGTTTATGTTATGTGATGTTTATGTTGTTAATGTTATGTTTATGTTATGTTAATTCATGTTGTTTATGTTATGGTTATTTTTTGTTTATGTTATGTTTATGTTGTTGATGTTATGTTTATGTTGTTTTTGTTATGTCTAT